TTATTCATTCTTATAATCTCCTTCCTATAACTATAAGAAAGTGATCTTTTCTCCCCAGCTGCGCTTTCATATACAGAGGTGATCCACAGTGGTGGGTTGCCAATTTTTTTACTACCTGTTCGGGCATGCTCGTGTGTGCATTCGCACATGCACAGAAGCATCCAGGTGGGTGGACTCTTGCTGCCACTTGCTGCCACTACTACCAGTTCACCCAATCCGGGCCAAACCAAGAGCACCCACCGCTTCCCAAATGTCTTACTTTTCCTCTTCTTATTTCACAATTTCAAAATTGCAAGATTTCTTCTCTTTAGCAGTTCAGTGAGAAATATATGAACATGAGCAAAACATTTGTATTGTTTATTTTTTAATTTAGCATATGGATATGATAGGTTTGAATCATGAATTGGTGTTTGTGGATTAATTTTTTAAAAAGAACAAATGGATGAATTCGTGCATCGCAGAATTGTATTAAAGATGGGGAGATGGATCAGAAAAGTTCAGATATACCAATCTTCTAGAAAAGTGGTGGGTACTATGTGCTCTGTTGAAGGAATTTATGCTGAAAAACAGATAAAATTGCTGTACAGAAGAATGTGTTTCTGCTCACTTTGTTATTTGACAGGGAAAAAAAATGAATGTCAAAGTGAACACAGAAGAAATGGGATAATTAAGAAGCATGAGTGGTAAAACACGAAAAGGTAGAGTCAATGATGAATAGCAATGAATTGTATTTGGCTATGCCACTCCCTGTATAATCATCCTGAAGCTGTGAACTATTGAACAATTCAATAAATTGTCACTATTCTGCTAATATGCTACAAATAATTGATATAAAATATGTGAATTTAAAAACTGAGAAGAGGAGGAAGAGATAAAAGAAAAGATACTTGCATAAAAACTGGATGAAGTTTTTATATGCTTTTATTAGGCACTTAAAAGGTATCATGGGAGGCATTATTTTTGGTAATAGATATATATGTTATGTAAAATAAAGGCATCAAATGTTAACATTTGATGTTAGCACCTTTAATCATTTTAATGTTTAACCATATTAATGACATCTTTTGGAAAGAAAGTGTTCTAAAAATAAAATGTAAAGGGATCTTAAAATACATCTATTTCCTTAAAACAAGGTGGTCATAATCAAGCTATAATGAACCAATCATTTACTCCCTCAAGAACAGCAGATGAAAGAAGAATTGTGTCGTGGAAAAAAATGTTAAGAGCAATTTTCCGTTGCATACAGCAGATTTTATATTTCAAAAATAGAAACCACCTGTAACAGATCCCCTGAGGGATTAGCAGTAGTACAGACTGGCCATTAATGTCTGTTTTCCTCCTCCTTCCAGGATATCTCAGGTATTTTTTTTCTTCTATGAAAGTTCATGATCTCCTGCAATAATTATCTGGAATATATTTATAATAAATGCCTTATGTTTTTTATAAAAAGCATGAACACTGATTTTGTTCAGAATTGTTCAATTGTTAAAGTAAGAGAAACTCTACACTAAGAACTTTGTATGAGGAAACACTGTATATTTTAGCTTGGGCTGCAAAATAAGAAATGTTTATTATGCAAAATCATTAGGGATTATTCATTTCATCAATTTTCCCTTGCAAAATGGAGAAACTAAAAAAATGCTCTTTGAGAGCTCAAAATTATCCTTGGATAAAGTCTTCAGAAAGTTAAATACTCAAAGCAAAAATGTTTATTAAAATTAATATGTCTTTTACATCAACAGAACTATTAATTGTTCTGCTACGCTTTAAGTATAAGCATGATAATTAAGATCAGGGACAATCTGATTGTTGAAAACATCTGACAGTCATTTAAACATGCCTTGCAAAGAATATGAAATGTCTTTCAGCCTCCAAGCAGGAAACAATAATAGCAACTGCAATTTAGAAATCCATAAAGAGATGTTCAAAAACATAATGGAGGATCAGCTTTTCATAAATTGTGACTTCAATGTTCTTTCACTTGCAGTTCCCTTTTGAAATATCAGCTATCCATCTCCATGATCCTCTATGTTAAGCAGCTGTTTATTTTTTATAAGCCTGGTACTTTATCTGTTTAATGTATATTCCATATACATTCCATAGACATATGGAATATTTATTTAATGTATATTATTATAGAGGGACGTGGTGGATCAGTGGCTAAGATGCCGAGCTTGCCAATCAGAAAGGTCNTTGAAGTCCACAAGTCTTAAAGTTGCCAAGTTTGGCAACCACTGATTTAATCCCATTTGATTAGGCTACCTTTAGTCAAACAAAATAATATCCAATACAATAAGAGTATTTTTGGAGAGTAATAGACTTTGGTTCTTGCCTGTACAGGTTTCACAAGTTAGGAAATGAGGACAATTAATTTGGCACTTCGTAACACACACACACACACACAGACACACCTTTAGCAATTTGATGGTGTAATCCATTGCAAATCTACTCAGGAGTAAATTAATCTGATGGATCTAAATGGCTTTAACATATATTTAAGACTGTAGACTTAAAGGAATAAAATACATAATTAAATATTTTTTACATAATAGCCAAAACTCAAATCCAGAATTTTATTTTTTAAAAATGACAATAATAGGTGATAAATGCTTAGATTTTTTTCCCATGTTTACCTGTAATGAATATATAGACCAGTGTGGGTGTACACATCAACTCCCAAGTGTAGGTGTTACTCCTAAGATGGGATCCATGATATTATAAAAAACAAATACAGTGTATATAAAACAAATAGTGTACACACAATTAAAAGTGTCTGTGCCAAGGGGGTATTTTAATTCGACAGTTCAACTAATATTCTGTCTCCCAAGTTAGTGGTCTGTACATACCAATTAAATTTCTCTCAGTAATAATATTAAAATGTGATCTTGTAAAATGTACATGTATAATTTACATATTGGGGTGATATTGATTGATTGGATAAATTTTTAAATCTCCCGACTCGCAACAAGTCAGAGTAGCCATCTTGAAATGGGCTCAGTTTCACTTGGAGAGTCACTATAAAGGCAATAAATCATCGCCCTGGAGTAATTCAGTTTGGAGAAATTGAACCAACTGCAACCATTCTGGTTTTGCAACAGGTGAATTTATACCCGCTGGCATTTATTTTTATAATGTATATTTCTTGGGCATCCAAAGATGATCCCATCTATGGAAAACCGTTAATAGGTTCATCTCTCTAGGTTAATTACAGCAAATAGGATTTAGGATTAGGATTTATTTCATTTATATGCCGCCCTTTTCCCCGAAGGGGACTCAGGGCGGCTCACAATTCGGTCAGGGAAAGGGGTACAAACAGGGGATAAAAAGACGAACATAACAATACACAATTTAAAACACACAACAACCATACCATTCGAGGAGGGGGGGGCAAAAGCTCTTTAGCCCCAGGCCTGTCAGAACAGCCAGGTTTTAAGGGCTTTGCGGAAGGCCTGGAGGGTGGTGAGGGTTTGAATCTCCATGGGGAGTTCGTTCCAGAGGGTCGGAGCAGCCACAGAGAAGGCCCTCCTCCGGGTAGTTGGCAGTCGGCATTGGCCGGCGGATGGAATTCGGAGGAGGCCTAATCTGTGGGATCTGATCGGTCTATTGGAGGCAATTGGCAGCAGGCGGTCTCTCAAGTACCCAGGTCCAATACCATGAAGGGCTTTATAAGTGACGACTAGCGCTTTGTATGCATCCTTCTCTTAACCTTTCATCACCGTTGTGACTGCAAACAGAACCGGTAGCAGAAATTTTGAGTAGTTCGGAGAACCGGTAAATACCACCTCTGACTGGCCCCGTCCCCATCTATTCTCTGCCTCCCGAGTCCCAGCTGATCGGGAGAGAATGGGGAGTAATCTTCCCCTGCCATCCCCACCAAGCCACACCCACAGAACCAGTAGTAAAAAGAAATTGAATCTCACCACTGCCACCACATATTGTTGATGTATAGCTCCTGACATGCCTTGTCATCAGTCAAGTTTAAAAAGGCCATTGAGAGGTGTGCTCCGTAAAGATTTGGCAAATCTGCCATTTCCCAACGTTTAGCTAACATTCCTTAATCACTCTCCCAAAGAATGGATTATATTCTTTTGCCAAATACCGTCTTGAAATATACGATGTAGCTGTCAATCCTGAAGTGAACCTGGCTGAGACCATCTTGGAGGCTTCAGTTGCCACACAACAGAAGGAGGGGGGAATAGTGAGATGGGGTTTGATAGCCAAAACAATAAAGTTTTCCTGTGGGAACCAAGGACATTCTCACAGGTGGCTGGCCAGAGGAGAAGTGAAGTAACCAAGCAACCGGATAGCAACTGGATTGGACAGATTGATCAGTGACTTGGGGAAAAGCCGAGGTGGCGCAGTGGTTAGGGTGCAGTACTGCAGGCCACTTCAGCTGTTATCTGCAGTTCAGCGGTTCAAATCTCACCGGCTCAAGGTTGACTCAGCCTTCCATCCTTCCGAGGTGGGTGAAATGAGGACCCGGATTGTTGTTGGGGGCGATATGCTGACTCTGTAAACCGCTTAGAGAGGGCTGAAAGCCCTATGAAGCTGTATATCAGTCCAACTGCTATTGCTATTGCTAAAAGGGGAAACTTTTACTTTTTAATTAGATGAAAGCTACAGGAATTTTAGAATCCGCTTTCACTAGTTGTGCCAATAGGATGTTTCCAATAAATTGTTTTTTGAGGAACTTGACTGCCTCACAGTTCTCCTTTCTATGGGCACATTACTTGGAATGCTGACATCAGCATCTGTTTCAAAACTTTAATATAGAAGAGACGTAAAATTGTAAATGCTCATCAACAAATCCAAACCTGGAACTGAAACTCATTCCATTCTTCAGGTCTAAAATAGTGTATGCTTCCCATAGAACAAAGAACAGCATTAAGTAAGAGCATTAATTAATGCATATTATCACTGATATATGAAGTCAGATTTCAAATAATGCAGGAGATGCAGCTTTGCTTTTCATTGTAAATTTCAACAATGAGAAAAGAGAGTTTTTGCAATGCTTTATTCAGAACAAATGAAGGTAATCTACGTTAATAACTGCCCAAAATTAATTTAAAAAAAAAATATTTCACTGTTAAACATATTTAAGAAAAAAAAACCTATTAATTGATTAATGTAATGAAGCTCACTACAGATATAAAACTTCTGATATCCCAGAGATAAATTAGTGATTTAACTCTTCCCTAACTAGACAGTTCTATAAAGTTGAAATTCAATATTGTCAATGAGCATAAAACAGCAGTATTCTGGAGACATCACAACTTTGCATATTGTTTTATTGCTACCTATCAAAGATCCATTTTGCTGAATTTGTTTTGATGTTTATTTCATATGTAAACAAGAAACTGTCTTCCCAACTTTGATGTATAATACGTATCTAGCTGATGGTTCACTAGAAGATATGCTATGCCATAATGAATTATTTTAGTCTTTTAGGTGTCCCTATATTTAGTTTGGCTACCACTAACTGATATGGCCATTCCTCTGTAAATTCATTTGAACAGGAAGTTATTCAATTAACAAGAGAAACTGCATAGATTACCTTTGAATATTTCATACCCAGAAAATATTGATAACAGGTTTCTTTATAGGCAGTTCTGTTTAAGGGGAACAGAATCTACCAGCAAATACAATACTGCGACTTTTGTTGTGCTTAAAGAAGAAAAGAAAAGGATGATCTGCATTAAATTCATCTTTGTGTTGTAGGATCCGGTATCCAGGAACATCTCGAGACTCGGCTCCTTCTTCAGATACTTCCAGAGAGACTTTGTGAATGATCTTGGAAAGAACAATGCCTTTCGACTCTGACATTTCAGAGAAATCTGATGCATTCTCATCAAACATGTGAGTCATTCCAAGGCTTTCTAAAATGGGTTTGAAGTCATATTCACTTTCCACTTTGAATTTGGGGAGGAAGACATTAACTCTGCTGTTTGCCATCACACTAGGATTGGTCCACTGTACCAGCTTCTCCGGGGTGAGCTCCTTCTCAAGCTACAGAAATAAGAAAAATAGTAAGTGAATTGAGTATCAGCTTTGATTGGATATTGTGATGTGCTGTGCTGTGCTGCACTATGCTGTACAGTAACATAATGTTGTATTGCATGGTATACAAGGGATACGGTGGCTCGGTGGCTAAGATGCTGAGCTTGTCGATCAGAAAAGTCAGTAGTTCAGTGGTTCGAATCCAGAGGTGGGTTCCTACCGGTTCGCACCAGTTCGGTAGAACCGGTTCGTCAAATCTACTGAACCGGTTAGAAGAGGTTCC